ATTTTGCATAACTTAAACATTTAACAATGTTAACTCCTATTTTTCATGAAATAATAGCAATGTTAACACAATAGTTATCATCTTAACTCGATATTTATACAATATGCTAATCGAGCATCATATTAGTTAGCATTGTTAACACAGTTAACATGATAACTATTGTGTTAACGTGCTATTATTTCAATATGTCAATCGAACATCATATTAGTTAGCATAGTTAACACAATTATCACAATATCATATTAGTTAGCATAATAATTAAATTGTTATCTACAAAAACTGCATCAAATAATTATAAAGGTAATATAATCATAATTTTTATATATAATATACATCAACTTAATTTTTAATTTTTGACTATTGGTTCCATTTTTCTAATTTTATTATTATCTGAGTCTATTTACTAAATTTTCTCAAAAAATATTCGATTAAAAACCGTAAATGTTTTGCTTGATTATCTATCTACTTTGCCCAATTTCGTCACAGCTGATTCGTAACTGGGTTTCCAGATCCATAGTCATAATGGAGTCACCGCAATCGAATTTGCTCCCCGAAGTCGATTCCTTGCCCGATGGATTCGTTGACGGAGCTACAGAGCCACCTTTTTCTCCGGTGGCCGAGGAAGAAAACCGTATCACGACAAACCACCAAACCGATGATGTCTCGATCGAGAAAGCAGAGAAGCCCAGGACTTTCCCCGTCCCGTTGTGTGACGAAACGGATGGTAATGACGACGACGACGGCGTAGATGACCTAATTAAGGTTTCGAGCGAGCTTAGCTTAGAGCAGAAAGAAGCTCCTCCTCCTCCTCCTGTTTGCCAAACATGTGAGAGATGTGAACCAAACAAATTCTCAAAATCTTGAATTTGAAATTTTACTTCTTTTGTAAACCTAATGTTGGTTCTTTGCTTTTGCGCTTAGTATCAGAAGGGTCAGCTCAGAATCCAATCTTGTCCAAGGACAAGATAACGGACTCGACTCAGAGTGTGGATTCGCTCAAACCCAGAAAACAAGTTAGTATTTTGATGAACTCTTCGACTTGAGTTTTTCCTTTCTAGCACAAAAGTGATGGAAAGAGCATAATTTTTGTGATGTCTATTCGAAAATGTTAATAGGATTCTCTGTATAGTACCTTTTTGTTTGCATCTCCTTTTTAGATTCCAAGAAATAGTAGTCTTTTAGTTTGATTAAAGAGGATGTTTCTGATTCGTGCCTGATATCGAAAGCAGGAGGCAGTTGAGACCAAGCGTAAAGGTTCGAAGAACATGTTCAAATCAGAAAAAGAGTTTCTGGAATTCATGCTGAAGTATCAACAAGTACTTTCTGAAAGAGATTCTGGTAATAGGAAATCAGTAAAATCCAGTTTTGTCTTACCTTGATCGCTCTATGCTTTTATAGTCTCTACTCATCACTGAACACTATGTTGTTTCTCCTTTGTCTCTGTAGCTATTACTGTCCGTGACAAGCTTGAGTCGCTTTGTAGAGAGTTACAACGTCAAAACAAAATGTTGATGGTATGCTGTTTACTGTTTTGTCTTGGTTTGCCATATCTGTTGTCTTGTTTGTGTGTAAATTGGATGTTTCTTTGTGCAACAGGAAGAATGCAAGCGGGTTTCAACTGAGGGACAGACTTTAAGATCAGATTTATCGACAAAGTTCCAGGAAGCAATTAAGGTATTACAACACATTTTTCAATGTTGATTCTTCCCATGGTTTTGATCTTTGGTAAAGATAAAAATTTGAGCCATTTTGTTATCTGTATGGTCAGTTTCTAAAGAGGAGAAAATGTATTGTGTGATATCTTTGTCTTTTCCTCTTAAGAAAGCTAATCCTAATGTGTCCCGTTCTTGATCTTTGTTCTATTCCCTTACTTACTCCTTTTAGTCTTCCATGCTACATGCTCTAGAGAGTCATGGTCCATATGTGAAACTCTACACTGTTATGACTCATGGATGTGTGAAACTCTACACTGTTATTGACACATGTTAATATCAAATCTCACAGACCTATTTAATCATTGGAAAACATTGGAACTTACATGTATAAGGGTCGATATTAGTTCACTTAGATGTAAACTCTGAAATGTACTGAAAGAAAATTTAGTTGAAATGAATCTTGCTTTTAGGGCATTGCAACGTTAGAAACTCACAATACTGAAATCAGAATATTTTATTCAATTCTGTTGAGATTTTGTGTTATACTCTTCACCTTACTAATTTCTCTTTGGTTGTAGGATGTGAGCATTAAGCTGGATGAACAAAAAGATGAAAGCCTCGCACAACTAAAAGAAAATGAAATGTAAGCCAAAAGAACCAAATCATAACGTTTTCAATTGTAGAGGAGTAGGAAACTTTAATTTATGTGTATTATATATACATACCGTCTTGTTGCACATTAAGTAAATATCATTATGAATACGCTCACTCACATTTTGCAAACTATATTCTTACATGGGTATCACTTTAAATATTTTAGATGTCCTTGTGAATTTCATTGGTTTTGTCTCTTAATCTGCAGGTTAAGGACGAAGTTGAAGCACCTGGCTGATCAATATATGCTTTCAGAACAACAACATGAGCATAGAGTATGAATATTCACATTCTTTTTTTCAAACTATACATGAAGAACCTCATGTTGCCAAACTTATTTGACCATAACTGTGATGAATACTTTGATAACATCTCATTTTTGGATAAACAGTTGAAGCAGAAAACACTCGAGCTACAGATCTCTGCTTTGCAAATCCAACAGCACGAAGAGAAACTCGTGAACGAACAATCTCAGATGAAAGTTTACGCGGATCAAGTTTCTCAGCTTTTGGCAACTGAGAAAACTCTGCGGTTGCAGCTAACATCTGATGGAGAGAAATTCCAGCAGTTCCAGGTCTGCTTTATCGTCTTCTCGATTCAATATGATCACAACTGATAATAAGATTGCTTGATTTGGGGTTTGTGAAGCTCTGCTTAAACATACTATTCTTCCACAAGAACTTAAAAGTGAAACACGATTTATATGCAGGGCGCGTTGGTGAAGAGCAACGAGGTGTTTGAGACATTCAAACAAGAAATCGAGAAGGTAAAAACGCTGTTTCATGTTTTCACTGCCATTTCTGTGATCTTCTTATTGATACTGATCATGTCTCTATTGGTGTTTTTGTGAGTAGATGTCAAAAGCTATCAAAGAACTCAGGAAAGAAAACGCATTCTTGAAGAGCAAAACCGAGAAATCGGATCTTTCTCTCATAGAACTCGTCGAAGAGGTAAAAACCCCGAAACAAGTCTCTGTTCTTCCACCATTTTTAGAGGGTTTATGAAAAACCCAGTGCAAATATAAACTCTTTTTTGGGTTTAAACATTGAAACAGCGTGAAAGATTGAAGAAACTGTTGGAGAAGACGAAGAATCAGAAAGATAAGCTTGAATCGCTTTGCAGATCACTTCAAGCTGAAAGAAAGCAACAAAAAACTAACAGTAACGATTCTGCTCAAGCTTGAAAACAGCAGAGAGATTATGATTCGAGTTTTGGCTTCTTGTTTCTTTTTTTTGTCAGAGTTTTAAGATTGAAACTAATTAGAAATTCAGATTAACTACTGCAGTTAGACCATAAAAATTACTTTTAAAATGTAGCCATATATCACATTAATGATTTTTTTGCCCTTTCCGAGCTAATTTAAGTCAATTTAATTAAAGAATATCTCTCCATATTCGTATTCTCAAACACTAAAAAAATGTAACGTATTTGGTCGTCCCCTCCCTTTTATAAACAACCATGGAATGAATAATAAAGTTGTGAAAAAGAAAAAGTAAATTACGAAATGTCAACCATTGATCATGACCGATACTGATTAAATCGGACGGCTCCTGTTATTTGATGAAGTAGACCTACTCTTATATTTCATCTACTTGAAATCTCTTGTGCTGTGTTGTTACAAGAAAAAAACCAGTGCCCTTTCGCTCAAGCTTTGAGTCGTCTCTTCCTCTCTTTCGAATCCGCCGTCTCCGATCGTTTATCGCCGGCGCGGTAGATCATACAACCTCAGGTAATCATTTCTCTCTCCGGTATCGATCTTCTCTTGTTCATTCGTCCTTCGCTTTCTCCTGATTACGATTCTGATTCTTCTAGTCGTTTTTTGCCTCGATTTTCTACGGTTGTTAGATCTACAGTGATTTTGATCCTCTGTATCTGAGAAGTGTACTGATTTTTTTTCCTTTTATCAGAGAAAATGTGGGGAATATTGAGACAAAGAGCCGTCGATGGAGGCTTTTCTGCTTCGGTAAGAGGCTTTGCTTTTCATTTCGCCAGTGTGGATACGATTTGAGTTTTTTTCAGTCTCCGGGATCGGATTTCAGATTTTTTTTTCGTTTCGCAATTTTTCTGATTTTTGAAAAATGGATTTTGAACAGTCTCTCAGAAAGACGCGATCCGCTTTGGTTTCCGCAAGGAGTTACGCAGCTGGTGCAAAAGAGGTAATGTCTTTTATCGAATTCAGCTGGGAAGTCTGTCTTAGTCTGGTTATCTCTGGAAAGCTCTTCTTTCCAGTCGCTTATGAACAATTAAGGAAGAGAATTTGGTCAATTCAGAATGATAAGAGCTGATAGTTTCTGTCAAAGTTCCTTTGGATGATTGATGGCTGAATGTTGTATTCTGTGGACTCTGTCGGTTGCCTTTCGTATTGTGTTCACCGAAAATTTGGGTTTAGTGAGCAATATGGATTGATTAGACGAAGGAAATTGCACATATTTGGCTTTGTTAACTGTGAACATTCAAGAAACGCAAGTATAGATAAGAATAAATGTTAAGGCCTAAGTTAGATTTTGATTTACATTTTGAGAGCCCACAATGTAATTTATATAGGAGCTGACTAGTAAAAGTAAAACGAAGCTGATAAACTTCTAATCTTCAATTTTTGTCAACATTTCTGAAATATGTTGTTCCGTGTTTATTGAATCTTCCCAAATACTATAGTATAGCTTACATTTTTGTATGCAAATTCTTGTTTAGATGACGGTCAGAGATGCTCTAAATTCTGCAATTGATGAGGAAATGTCTGCTGATCCTAAAGTTTTTGTCATGGGTGAAGAGGTTAGTTGCAGTTGACATGTTTGATATATTCATCTGGCTTTTTTAACCAGATATCGATATTTCATCTTTTATCTTCTTTTTGCAGGTTGGGCAATATCAGGGTGCCTACAAGGTTAGAATTCTTTGCCTGATGGACAGAGATTTTGGTTAAGTTTTGACTATGATCTGATGTTGGAGTTTTCTTATGTACTCACAGATCACGAAAGGTCTTCTGGAGAAATATGGTCCTGAGAGAGTTTACGATACACCTATTACCGAGGTTTGGATTTCCTATGCTAAGTTTCTTGTAGTGCAGTTGCAATCCTTATGTCTATGTTTCTAGATTGAGAAGATTTCTGACAGTCATCTTTTTAATCACGTTGTAGGCTGGATTTACTGGAATTGGAGTTGGTGCTGCCTACGCTGGGTTAAAGCCTGTTGTAGAATTTATGACGTTTAACTTCTCTATGCAGGTTAGCGTTGCTTTATGCTCTAGTCGTAATACTTCATTTTGCGTCTTTCTTTTACTTGATTATGCATTACTGTTGCGTTAAGGGATCATGCACTGTTACGCAAATGTTTCCAGGAACCATTGGCTTTATATTCTTTTGGTGTATTATTATCGTTGACATTAAATTTATGCACATTTTATATCCCGATGTGTATTCTAACATCTATTGGACTTCTTTCAGGCAATTGATCATATCATAAACTCTGCTGCAAAGTCAAATTACATGTCTGCTGGACAGATAAATGTACCTATCGTTTTTAGAGGACCAAATGGTGCTGCTGCTGGTGTTGGGGCTCAGCATTCTCAGGTAAACGTTTACGCATATTCTGCAAAACATGCTCTTTCCTTCACCCTAAAGAAAATGATTAGTTTGTTGCTTTGCAGTCTTGCAAACATTATCTTCAGCTTCTGTGAAACTGATAATAATTTTCAAATAGGATCAAGTAACTAGCTTTGGCTTTAACATTGATCAAAATTTCCCATTAATAACTTGGTCACTATGCTGATTGAATAGATTAAGGTTCTTAGCACAGTAACGTGCAACTGTTTTCTCTTAGTGAATGAACACATAAACTATGATTTTGTGTCTCAGAGAAGGGTGTAGAATGTTTAATCGTATGGCCAACATGATTGATACATGTATTTTAGTTATTTATTGCTGTCGATTTAGTTGTATTATTCACTGTATAGCTATCCTGATCAATACAAGTATTCAGGGATGATGATATGTGTTTACGACTGATTTTGGCCTTGTATCTGTATCTCTGGATATTAAACTGAGACATTCTGTTCCACATGTTGAAGTGCTATGCAGCATGGTACGCCTCAGTTCCTGGCTTGAAAGTTCTTGCTCCATATTCAGCTGAAGATGCTCGTGGTCTTCTTAAAGCTGCCATTAGAGACCCTGACCCTGTTGTCTTCCTTGAGAACGAGTTGCTGTAAGTAGTAACCCTATTCGAATTCCAGTCATGTAATTAGAGCCTACAGTCCCATTATCAGTGCCCACCTAAATTGATTCCCATCATGCAGATATGGTGAATCGTTCCCAATTTCAGAAGAAGCACTTGATTCAAGTTTCTGTCTTCCTATAGGCAAAGCCAAGGTACTTTCACTCAGATATTTATTATCTTCTTTTTCTTCAGTCTACAACTTAGATGCGTTCATACTGTATTGGGCTATTGTAACAGATTGAACGAGAAGGAAAGGATGTAACGATAACAACGTTCTCAAAGATGGTCGGTTTTGCCCTCAAGGTTTGCCATTGCACCTTTCAGTAATAATAACTGAGAACATTTTTGCTTCGTTTTTTTTTAAGAAACTGCTTCTCTTTTTATGTATCTGAATTATTTAATGTTCATGATTCCAGGCAGCTGAGAAGCTTGCCGAAGAGGGAATTAGTGCTGAGGTACAAAAAAACTAATTCAGATTATCAGATTCCTGTCTTGTGAATCTCTGCTTAAAAACTGATACGTGAGACTCTGAATTGTGGTTAGGTAATTAATCTTCGGTCAATCCGTCCGCTTGACAGAGCAACCATCAATGCATCAGTGAGGAAAACAAGTAGATTGGTAACAGTTGAAGAAGGTTTCCCTCAGCATGGAGTCTGTGCAGAAATCTGGTGAAAAACTTCATTTCCTTTCACTCAAAAAAACAATCTGTGTTTTAAATATTGTCGAAAATTATTGATTTAAAAACTCTGCTATGGATCAGTGCGTCGGTTGTAGAAGAGAGCTTTTCGTACTTGGATGCACCAGTGGAGAGGATCGCAGGAGCTGATGTTCCAATGCCTTATGCAGCTAACCTTGAGAGATTGGCTCTTCCTCAGGTTTGTGTGAAAAATTTTGTATTCAAAATTTTCAAGTCTTTTGTATTTGGTTTTAATGAATGTGAACGTTTCAAACGAAATGCAGGTAGAGGATATCGTTCGAGCAGCAAAGAGAGCTTGTTACAGATCCAAGTGAAGAAAATGATCATCTGAGAAACCAACCAACACATTTCTTCTTTGATGATCTTTAATGGAAAAAAAAATAAGAAAAAAAGGAGAAAAATGATGTCTCTTTTGCCACAAAACCCACCATTCCTCGTGAGATTTTATTTGATCTTTTTACTATTTGTTAATCATCAGCTGCGGTTTTCTCTTTTTCCTTTTTGTCATTCCCGAATTGAAAATTATAATCTTTTGGGGTTAACTGATAAATTGATCGAGAATGCTAGTGAAAGGAGTTTCATCTAAACACCTGTCTTTTCTCTGTGAGATGATTGGACACACAACAAAAGCCTCACGAAAATAAGGGTTGGCTGCTATCAGCTCTTCAAATTATACATTGTCTAATTAATCCACATTGTCTAATTAATCCCTTCAGACTAAAGTTTAGTTTTGCTTATTCTCAACCAAACAATTTATTTTCTGTCTATTTTCCCAAATTCAATTAGAAATTAAATTTATTATTAATTTATAAAATTATGTTTGGGTTAGATTGCATTTGTTTTTGGGGAGAAATATCTAGAAAACAAATTGTTTGGATGGGAATATGCGAAAGTGTAATCTAGGGAGAATATGCATAATTTATTAAGTTCAAAAGGCTGAGCGCAGTCAATTTTTAATTTTTAAGTTTTTTAAAATATTTAACACATGATTAACTTAATTATATCCACAATATATATTTGTATAATAAAATAAATAAATATTTCTATTAAAAAGGTAGTAATATGACACAATTTATTTTTAAAAACAAAACTAATATTGGGTATTATACATATATAAACATATTATCCTATTGTTTTAAGTATTTTGATTTAAAATACTAATAGAAAAAACTATTTTTCGGAATATACTTGATATTATATGACTTATTTACTTGACATTAAACATCTTAATTCTTAACTAATGCAAGTTTATCATTTATTGGTTTGAGTATTTTGGTTTGAAGTGTTAGTAGAGAAAAAATATTTTTCACGATTTATAAACTTATGTTAATATACCGGACCAATAGGATAATAAACGTATATTAATTAAGTCGTGTAATAATACTTTTTCCTACTAGCACTTCAAATAAAAATATTCGACCTAATATGATGATAAACTTATATTAATTAAATTGTATAAAGTAAACATAAAGGAAATCTCAAAAATAGTTTCTTCAAATATACTTAGAACAATAGGATAATAAATTAATATAAATTAAACCGTATGATATCAAATAAATAAGTTGTGTAATGTCAAGTAAATTCTGAAATATATTTCATGCAATCCTCTTATTAGCATTTTAAATAAAAATACTCGAACCATGAATGGTGTAGAAGAGGTTTCAACTCTATCTAACCACTCATTACTCATATATATTAATTTAAGCACAATATGTACATACGACATCTAAGTCTGGAGTCTCTAACCAATCTGTGTTAGAAGCTATTAGTGGCCTGATTTAACAATAAATTTGTTTATTTTAGGGATTTGTAATGAAAATACATGAACCAATAGAATGATAAACTTGCATTAGTTAAGATGTTTAATGTCAAGTAAATAAGTCTTATAATATCAAGTATATCCCGAAAAATAATTTTTTCTATTAATATTTCAAATCAAAATATATTAAAACAATAGGATAATATGTTTATGTATGTATAATAACCAATGTTAGTTTTGTTTTTTAAAAATAAATTGTGCTGTCTTATTGCTACCATTTTAATAGAATATTTGTTTATTTTATTATACAAATATATATATATATATTGTGGATATAATTAAACTAATCATGTGTTAAATATTTTGAAAAACCTAAAAATTAAATTGACTGCGTTCAGCCTCCTGAACTTAATAAATTATGCATATTCTCCTCTAGACTACACTTCCACATATTTCCAACCAAACAATTTGTTTTCTGTATATTTCCCTCCAAAACGTAATCTAACCAAAACGTGATTTTGTAAATTGATCGTGATTTTAATTTCTAATTGAATTGGGGAAACAGACAGAAAATAAATTGCTTGGGTAGGAATAGGTAGAAGTCTTTAGTTTGGGGGGGGGGGGGGGGGGGGGGAGGGGATTAAGTAGACAATATACAGTTTGGGGGCTGAAGGCAGCTAACCCCAAAAATAATGAGTGAGGTGTACCTAGTTTCTGTTTTCTATCCTATGAGTGAAGTAATAGTCAGTTTTCGACTAGACTATATAAGTTTTGATTCCCATTTGGTGTGTTAGCCCCGATAGGGATGGGTCCTTAAAAGTTTTCTTGTTTGATAAGAAAAGGTTCGGTAACAAAAAGGTGTTAAGCAGAGAATTACAAAAAGAGGTGAAAGATAAACTTGAGGAATAGAACATTACAATTCCACTTAGAGAAGCTTCAAACTGTCTCTTCACAGCGGATGTAGTTCTTCTTCCTGAGAGTGATAATGACACAGTTTGTTATATTTTGAAGGAGGCATAAAGAAGTTCATGGCTCTGATATCATGAAAAAAAAAAAAACATTAGCTTAAATCTTAACAAAATTTAGAGATGACTCAAATATTTATATTCTCATTTTTTTACTTTTCTGACATTACATCCGTTTATAGGAATTGATAAAAATAAAAATAAAATTCTAGTGAAGAGTCGACTAGAAAACAAATTGATTGGACAAAGTGATTTGTTGACTGGTCTTGTACTGAGGTTCTCTGTTACTCTCTGAAGAGGTGATCTTTGTAGCAGCAGGTTTCTATTTTTGATTTTGGCCCAAGTCTGTTTTCACGTTTTGGGCCGTTTTATTTGTCTGAGGTTTGAAAGTTTTTTCCTGAGAAAGAGGTTTTGTTTTGGCTTCCAAACTTGTCAAAAATTTGCACACAAAATCAAGTAATATACTGAGAGAGAGAGAGAGTAGTAAGAGAAGAAGAATATTGCTTTTCCCATGTTTGATACTTGGCTAGTAGGTTAGTCGTGGGCTCGGGAATTGTTGGGTTCCTAGGTGACTTAAAAGATGCAAGATCATTAGATATGAATGTGGCTTGTAACTCAAGTATAGTCTTGGTAGGTGAGTCCTTCATAAGTGATAAGAGGATAGGAGACTGTAGTCGTGAGTGTTGCTCAACACGAAAGTTGTGGTATTCAGAACAGTATGAGTCTCTTTCACTACAAATGTATCTTTTGCAGCTCCAATAGTTGCATTGGCCCAAGAGAACATTGCTAGAACCACAACAGGCTCAGGAATCACAACTTCATCGGCTTGTTCATTGTCTGCAGAATATTGCATGTATGGTAAGAAGAAAGTAGAAAGCATGAGGTCCAATACTCACAAGAACAACATGAAAAGCTTGCACTTCGATTCGAAGGATATATCACAAGATAAAGTATTGAAAGCAAGCGAAAAATATATAGCATGATATCAAATCCAAAGTCTTTCATCCAAATGATGAATCTTAAGCAAGTACACATGATATCCTAAAGCATACTATTAGCTTTAACATTAAGTTCCATACGATATCCTCATACTATTAGCTTTAACGTACGAATATTTTTTTTCTTTTGGTAAAGAGTTCCCTAGTGAATATTCATTCTCAGGGTATATAAAGTCGATATAGTGCATTTATGGTTTTCTTGAACAACAACATTATGATTATAGCAAATTTTACAAAAATATAATGTATGTATGGTTTGTTGCCGATACAACTAAATATTTATGGAGTCCACATACGTATTTTTTTGGGGTTTGATTGATAAATGTTGTAGAATCTGTACACAGCTATAATATTTTTAAAGCACTAAATTTTTCTCAATCATGCTTTACACAGATTTTTAAAGCTACAAATCTTTTCTTTTAAAAAAAAAATTTTGGCTGTACAAAAGTAAAATATGTTAAGCACTAAATTTTGGCTTTGAAAAATTAAAAATCCTACGACACTAAAATTTACAGAATTAAAATCTATAGCCACAACAAAAAGACTTACAACTTCATTTCTACAGCAATAAAACTATAACTACAACATAACCAATCAAGTCTTTTGGCTGGCTTAGGATAGGACAAAGAATTATTACTTACAGGATATTACATATATTGATTGTGAGAGCCATCTTAGTCAGCCTAGAATCTGAAAACTAGTTTGAGTGAGTATATCATCATTTGTTTTTACCACCGAAATATTTGAATCTTTTTGTGTCATTCCCAGTAAAAACGATGTGTAAGCACTCTAGGTTTCAAGAGAGACCCATTTTTGGTGTTAGAGCAATGCTATAGAATAAAGAAGATAGAGATTTGGGTGACCAAAATAAATCTATGGGGAAGAGATGGTTTCGATTATGTTGATGCCTGTGTCAATTCCTAACTTTCCGGACATAAGACACTAGTTACATGACGCCAAGTTACTACATCATCGACAAAAAGCTCATCTTTTTGTAGATGAGTTCCAAAATTTTGAAATTAATTATGAGTATTTGTTTTATTGACATACTGGCTTCATGTTCTGTTTTTAGAGGAAACCAAATGGATCTTTTTCTTGTTAGTGCTCTTCTTCATAACCAAAGATTTTTCTCTGCTTCAGTTGACACAGCAAGAACACAAATTCAAACAAACAACAGGTGCAGTGAAACAGAAATCAAAATCTTTTGAACATCCCAATCTTTGAAGCCTCAAAACCCATTTCAACAGCTATACAATTTTAAAAAGTAAGATTCTAAAACTAACCTGAATAATGTTTTTACATCAGTGTACCACATTTCCATTTTTGCACTCTCTCTCTATTCTGCTACAAAGAATATGGAAACAATCTCTTATTTTTGATGCACTGATAATATAAACTCTTTAACTCATTTCTCATTTCTCTACCCCTATCTCCGGATCCCAAAAACTTCTGATCTGCTCTTGAAAAGTAAGTCCATAGATAGACCAAGTGCAGGAGGAGGTTTAAGCCCCCATATGTACTTTCTTGAAGAAGAAGACCCACGAGACCCATCTTTGTTTGAAATCTTTCTCATTGATGTCCCTTCACCAGCCTTCAACGATCTCGATGACCCGAAAGAAGTCTCGGTCTTTGCACCAAACACTGAGCTTTTCTTTGACTGATCATCTTCCACCGGATGCCCAACTGCACCGTCTTGATGAGGAGGCGGGAACTTCTCGCTCTTGCTCTTTCCATGTGTTTGTGGAGCCACTCTCCATTTCTGCAAAACACACAGTACATTACAGAGTGATTACGACGCTGTGTGCGTGTGTGCATGAGTATGAATGAGATACAAAGCGTATTTTCTCACATCTAAGTTTGCTTGAATCTCGGCATTAGCTTCTGGAGCTGGAAAAGCTCTCCCAGTGCGATCACCACGATACCTTATTCTTCTTGCTCCTTCAATACCACTAGCTTTTCTAGCAAGACCCTTTTGCCTACAAATGCAGCCACGAGATGAGGCCAAATCACAAATCATTCTAATATAAAAGTAATGAGCATCAAGAAATGGCATAGAAGAAGATGTAAGAGTAAGTACCTTCTTGCCTCTTCATCCCTCAGCTTTACATCCAGTTCTTTCGAAGGTGGATACTTTGGTAAACTTGAAGGATCACAAGCTAATGGTTCACTAGCAAAGAACTACACACACAACCAAATAATAGAATGCTTTGATCAAAAATTGTTTTTGCTTGCATAACATCTAATCACAAACCAAAAAGTAATGACTCACTTCACTACTCAAGGCCGAGGTAGAAGTTCCTCGATCATCAGGGTCTATAGCAAGAAGCGTCTCAACTAAATGCACAGAGGAAGGAGTGAAACCATTGAAAGCTTCAGCCACACAACGTTTGTATGGATGCTGCGGTTTAAAAAGAGTTGCGTTCGGCAATTTATATTTCTTCCAGTACGAATCCGAAGGGGAGCCACATAATTTAAATATCTTATGAAGTTGTTCAACCTACAAAAGAAACAAATTAGGTAAGAAAAAAACGGTAAACATGAACCTCATTAAATTTTCGGTTGTACCATGCATTTATGGTTCCAAGACTTCAAGATCATGCAGTTGGTTTCCAAAGATAAAAATCAATTTATCAAGAAAGCATTAATTTCTCTCTATAATGCAACTCAGATAAGAGGAGACCCTACACATCTGTATCTGATAGAAATTGAAATCCCAAACAACTTAAATCCAAGGGAAAAAGCTTAACACTAAAACCTAATTCATAAAAAAAAAAACACCAAAGCTCATTTCATTAGAAGATCTTTAACCAATAATCTGTATCATTTTGTTTTACCTCTGTTCTTCCTGGCATAACGGGCTTGCCAGCGAGTAACTCTGCCATGATACAACCTGCACTCCAAAGATCAACACCAGTTCCATAGTTTGTAGCTCCAAGCAGAAGCTCGGGAGGACGGTACCAGAGAGTGACAACACGACTAGTCATCGCTTGCTTTTGCTTTAGATCATAAAAAGTAGCCAACCCAAAATCAGCAATCTTCAGTATCCCATCGTTATCTATCAGCAGATTAGAACCTTTGATATCTCTATGTAATACTCCTCTGCTATGGCAATGCTCTAGCCCAGAGAGTAGCTGCTTCATAAAGCATTTTACCTGAAGAACCAAACAAAAAAAATTCCGTAATAATGATTCAAGTTTGTATATTTGATTCTGTATTTTCAGACTCATCTGTTTCTTAAACTTTCAGCTTAATATTATGCAAGAATATCAAAATATGCAGAGATAATAAAAGAACCAAATCCAATGAATGACAATTCATAAAGAACGTTGAAAATTTTACACAGAATCAGAAACATAATGAAAAACGGGTCCACAGACAAAAAATTGTAGCATCACCAAAGGCACACTAGAAACAAAACCCAAGATGACGAAAACAGAACCACATGTAACCAAAAAAAGGACCCAAAAGAAAACAGAACAAAAAAAAAACACAAGAAAAGAAAGAATCCAAGTGATTCAAGATCAGAAAAAGAAAACCTAAAAACATTAAACTCACAATAACCACTTACATTTGGAAGCATATGAAGACATAAAGACATGAACATTAACTACTTCCGTCTAATAAATCATCTTTATCTTCTACAAACCAATCCATTTTATGTGGTAATGCGTTAATAGATAATTATTCATTAGTCACTGGTAAGAATTGAAACAAACGAAAAACACAAGAAAAGAGAGAATCAAAGTGATTATAGATCAGAAAAAAAAAAAAAAAAAAACCTAAAAACATTAAACTCACAATCACCACTTATATATGGAAGCATATCTTCTACATTGCACATGAAGACATGAACATTAACTGTTTAACATGTAATTACTAAATAATCATCTTCATCTTCTATAAAAACAATCCGTTTCACAATTGCCAATTAAGAATCCAAAACGAAAAAAAAACACAACACACACCTGAGGAAGATCAAACTTGGCACCTTGTGTCGCTGCAAGACCAGAGAGATCATGCTCCATGTACTCAAAAACAAGGTAGAGGCTACAAGAAACCCTCGAAGTAACTAAACCTTCAAGCTTTATAACATTAGGATGATTAAGCCGTCGCAGCACAAGAATCTCTCTAGCCATGAACTTAACACTCTCTGCTTCCAAATTATCAAACCTAACTTTCTTCAAAGCTACTATTTTTCCAGTCAATAGATCTTTCGCCTTGTACACATTGCTGTATGTTCCTTGCCCAATCTAAAAATTACCAAAAGTATAATTACCCAAATAAACTAATCAGAAAAAGGGAAAAATTTATTAGCTTTTTAATGATTCTTGCTTTTGATTATACTTAAAACTTAATGCGAATCTTTAAACCTGAAAACAAATTTGAAGTATGTGAAACATTTTGATTTACCTTCTCGAGCTTCTCGTATGTGGTGGCTCGTCGAGGAGTTAAGTCTTTGATCGAATCGCCGCAAGCAGCAATTAGCCACGGTGGCCATCCTTCCGGCGTGCGGAGGCTCATACCCAACGGCCGGCGAGAAGAGCCGGCGGAGAAATCGCCAGTGTGCCACGTTCTCGCCGTTTGAATCTGAATCGAAGCTAAATCATTTTTCCTCTCTCCGTTATCGACCTCCGGTACAGATACGGCGGTTGATGAAGAACGTAAATCGTCAGGCTTAGGTTCACAGCGGAGGTTTCCCGGAGCAGCTTCATCGGGATTCCGTTTCTCTCCGGCGGATATTTTGCAGCAGACGCAGCCCATTGGCGAAAATTGTTTGAATCGGCGAAAAGCTATTTTAGCTTATCATCTTCGCCGTGAAACGGTAAACCGCTAAATTGATTTTCAGCTTTTTCTGTGACTCACTTCGAAAGATACATTACACAGTGGGGAAATGGGGATTGCGAAAACGACAGCGTTTTGGCTCTGTCGAGTCTTTGGCACGTAGGAGAAGTGAATATAAATGGTGGTTTTCCGTTAAAAGTTAACGAGTGGTTTTCACATTAAAAGATTTGACATCTCTCTCTCTCGACTGTAACTGAGCTCAGGAATTTTTTTTAATTACTTGACTGTCATGGAATTTTGGTATTGGTATGAAAAGGGCCTGAAGAAAAAGATTAAAGTTGAAAAAGCCTTTTTGCTTATCTGTAAAATATAAATCCAAAAGTTATTCTACTTTTTTTTTTTCATATAGATTTGACTTTGTTGTTTCTTTCTTTATGTGAAGTCTATTTATGCTTTTATGTCGTTTTATTTTATTTTGGATCTCACTAGAAGCACTTATCAACGACACAAATAATTTGAAAATAAATATATCTAGGAAAATAAATTTAAAATTTCGTTTGAATTGACTATAAACTAGGTTGGTACGCTAGTTTAGTATTTCGAACTAGGAAAATCATTATGTTTTAACTGAATATATATATATATATATATGTTTTAAATAGATTGAAATATATTTGTAATTTTTTTAATATTTATCAATATTAATTCTTATATATGTGAACAATATTAGTTACTAATTATAATATATTCAAAAATATTTAATTTACAGTTAAGGAATAAATGACATAATGTTATTATATACAAAATAATATATATTTATTTTCTTCTTTAGTTATTGATATTGAATATTTTGTATAGCAAAATGATTAGTTCTTTCATACCAAAAAATGATTAATTGTTGCCTAAAATAATATTTGGCCATATAAATAATATTAAAAAATAAAATTAGTAAAATAAATAAATACTGAAATGAAAAGTGTAGTATTAAGTTATTAACACATCAACAAATTAAATCTTTATTTTTTTATTTTAATATATAATTAAATATTATATGAAGTCATGAAATATACAACTCTTTTAACAAACGGAAAGATAGTAAACGTATGTGATAGTTGATGAGCAAAACAATGAACATAAAAGATTGAACTATTTTCTCTAGCAACCAATGATCTTAACTAGTCATAGACTTTTTATCCGGACCTGGCGAACCCAACCCGACCCAACCTGAAAAATTCGGTTCGGTTCGGTTTCGGTTCTTTGCAATAACCCGATTGGGTTTTAATAATTTTTGGTTCGGGTTACGGTTCGGTTCGGATAAAACATGAGAACCGATCGGTTACCCGAACAACCCAAACCAAACAATAAAATATTTAATATTTTTAATTTTTTCCTAATCTAATTGAAAAAAACAAACCCTAATTTACTAAAACAAACCAACGCCGACAGTTATAATTCTCTTTCTTCTCCTTCTTCTTCAATTTCCTTCTATGATTCTCTTCCCTCTTTGATTCTCTTCCTTCTCCGTCTTATTCTTCTTTTCCTTCATCTCCTGCTTTTCACTATTTCTGAATTTATTTTTCTCCACCTCATCTCTTCTCTGAATCTCTTTCTTCTCTTTATCTGGTTTTCCTTCTTCTTCTTGTTTTCTGATTTTCCTTCTCCTTTCTTATTTTCCTTTTCTCATACTCTCTTTCCGATTCTTCTCCTCCACCTCCGTATTCTCTTTGCCGCCATCCAAAGTACAACTTTAACAGCATTTTCGACCCTAATTATGTTAAGATCTACACAATTCTTAGAAACTGCGAACATATCTATCTCTAATTTTGATTTTGATTCAGTCTAATTCGGGTCTATCGGATTTTTTGGATTTAATTCGGGTCCAAAAGGAGAGTAATCTCAGATGTCCCTCCCAATATAATCTCAGATGTCCCTCTTATAAAATTTATTTTCTTTTTCATTTTTATTTTAAACGAAAATGTATGAAATGACGAATAAGAGTATCCGAAATCCTCTAAATTACAAGCCGACCAACTAATAACTATTGGGTTTGGGCTCAAACTTAAATTTGCAGATCCGGCCCATACCTAAATCTAAATTCGGCCCAAACCCAAACAAAAAACAACTTCCACTTCCTGATTTTTCGATCCAACTACTGTCTTTTGTCCTCATCTTCTCTGAACCACCACGACAAACACACTTCTCTGATAACTCAAACACCACCGATCAAAAATCATCCAATCCGATCAAATCCAAGTCCAAAACCACCGTCCGTCTACTCCAATCTATTGATTATGGCACCGCGGAGAGGGGTTCCGTTGAGAACGTCTTCGCCGGATCAAATTTCATCGTCGCCACCATCGAGTTCAAATCCGCCGGCAAAGAAGAAAACAGCGGCGGAGAAGCGTCAGGCGGCACCGCAGAAGAACAAGAAGTCGCTGAAGAAATCCAAATCAAACGAAGGAACTTCTACTGCTCCGCCTCCACCTCCGCCTCCGGCGGTTCCTGTGACTGAAAGAGAAGAAGAAAATCCACCGGCGAAGAAGAAAAGAAAGGGGGAGAAGCATCGAGGAAAGGAGAAGAAGTCGCGGAAGAAATCAAAGTCCGCTCCGTCTCCACCTCCGGCTGCGGCGGCTCCGGTGGCTCCGACGATGCAACTGGCAACCGGCCCGCCTCCGATATCAGAACCGGAAATCGATTCGTCGTTGCAACCACCACCACTGGTAAACCCTAAATTGTGTTCTACAATGACTAGTATAGTTGGGTCCAACTAGTCCGAGTAGTGTGAGTAGTTCAACTAGTTCAACTAGAACGGTTGACTAGTCCGAATAGAATAACTAGATTGTAGTCATACTAATCGTACTAGTTTGATAGTAGTTGGCCTAGTATTCGTACTAGTCGTACTAGTTTGACAGTAGTTGGCCTAGTAATCGTACTAGTCGTACTAGTTTGACAGTAGTTGGTCTAGTAATCGTACCAGTCGTACTAGTTTGACAGTACTAGTCGTACTAGTTTGACAGCAGTATACTAAATCGGTTTTCTTATTTTTGCAGCATGATGATGATGATGTAGAAGAACCAATGCGGCCTCTCGGATATTTCTTCCATCCTACCGAATATCGAAAGGGATGTAAGCTAAGTACCAAATGCTTGCAACACAAATTTAAGGAGGATGTATTTCCAATGTTGGAAGAGGATGAGAAGAGTTGGTTTCTGAACCATCCGCAGTTCAAGCACCTGTTTCACATGAAGACTTATGCAACGAGAAAGGTGATGGGGCTGTGGATGTTGCTTCTACGCACGGTTCAAACGGAGAAGGGTAGACAGGCTTGGTTTGTGGTAAATGGAGTGCCCATTAGATACTCCATCAGAGAGCATGCTCTCCTCTCGGGACTGTACTACCACGAGTACCCAGCCGATTACCTGAAGTTAGGTGGCATGAGGTTTGCTAAGAACCATTTTGGAGACGAAAAAATTACAGCTGAAGTTGTGCTAAAAGCACTTCAGGGGATGAGGTATAATCACACTGGGAATCGGCTAAAGATGGTTGTCCTGTACTTCTTGGCGGTGGTGATAAGAGGGAGATCAAAGCATGGAGTAGCCATGGAGCCTTTCGTTCTGAGGATGGTTGATAATCTCGAGCTGTGTAAGACATTCCCGTGGGGACGGTTTACTTTCGAGGACAACATCAAAGAGATTTTTCATATGGAGAACCATTTCAATGGATCGATCCCAGAGAAAGCGAGTTGGACGTTTCCTGGGTTCCTTAACCCTTTGGAAGTAAGTCGTATTTCCTACTGTTTTAATTAGTCTGAATAGTACAACTAGTCCGACTGTTTTAATTAAATATGCAGATTTTTCGTATTAATAGTATGTGATAGGGTCAGGTTTTACCCAAATAAAACTACTGCAAGTGCACAGCAAAAGCAGTTGTAGTACAAGGGGTTATCGAATCCCAAGGGAGTATGTAAACCACACTAGCGATTATAGATTCAGATTAAGCTAAACGATAAATAATGAATGTAATGCAAAACAGTAAAATAAATGCAAGAGGGCGTTTTTATGCTTGTTCTTAAAGTTCAGAAGGCTAAAGGCGCTAAGTCAGGACAGTTCGCAGGTTGAATCTGAGAGTGTAGAATGCATGCAATCAGGAATGAATTAAAACCGTCTTGAACATGAATCACAAAGATATAACTAATCAATTCTCATTGCAGAAGTCATCTATGTCTAAATCACAGAGTTTCAAATCTCTTTGCAAACCCTAACAACCTAAACATGCAGTAATGATCAGGTTCAATTGTTCACAAAACTCCTAAGCCAAATCTCTTTGTACTAGGGCGTTTTTCTCATCTAATACTAGTTCAGGTGATTAATAATGCTCTCACATCTATCAAAAACCTAGGGTTTCGAAATCCAGATGATGTGTCTAAGAAATCGATATGAATGCAAGCACAGATGAAGAACCAATGAATTTCCTATAAGTTTTTAGCAATTCTACAAACTCTTCTTCAACCTTTGAAAAGCCCTAACTTAACTAACAAACTACTCAGACATGGTGATTTGAGAAAACATCATGAAAAGAATAGATTGCATAAAAGAAATAAGAAGTAGAAATAAAGGAGTTCAAAATCTGCTCTGAAGGAGTCTGATTTGTCTCTCCCAAAAGCTTTGCTACAAATCTCTCTCTAAAGTTCTCAAAAATAATAAGATACAAGATATATGCCAAAAGAATGGCTGAAAAACCTAATATACAAGCTAAAACACGATCTTGGGTCTTTTTGCAAATACTGGAACTTTTGGGCCAAAACTGCAATTTCTTCCCAATCTTTTAAAAACAGGCCACGACCTCCTTCCTTGGTGGGTGACGAGCGTCACCAGCTTGGTGACGAGCGTCACCATATGGCATACTTTCTTCTTCGAGCTAGGTACTTCGTGGCTTCAACTCATAATGCTCCAAAAGGTTCCAAAATCTCCAATTATGCTCCAGACATGCTATAACCTGCAAAGACTCTTCTAGGACTCTAAAAATACCAAAAAGACTCAATAAAAAGGACTTATATCATGGTTAAAAACTATAAAAACCATGATATATCAGTATGACTACGTCAACTACTCCGAATAGTACAACTAGTCTAACTGGTCTAATTATATGTGCAGATTTTGGCGTTTGAATGTATTCCAACCCTGAAGACACAATTTCGGGTGAAAGCAACAAATGCCGAAGATGATTGTCCAAGAATGTGAAAATGGGAGTTCACGCAGACTGGCACAACTGGATATTCGCTGGGTTCAATAAATGAGCATCTTGGAGATACAAAGGTATTTTAATTTTTGT